CCAAGAGGAACTCCTCAGAAATCTGCTTTAGACAAGTAAGCAGGCTTCTTTCGGGAGCCAGGGATTTGATTTCACTTCTTATACTGTTCTAAAGGGGGAAAAAAAATCAAATCGTGGCAACTTAGCTTCCCTGACGTTTCCACAGTTGTTACCTTGGACCACTTCACGGCAGAACAGTCTACCTCAACCAAAAACCAAGGGTTGGCGGCCGCTGCTCGCTCACGCTGCTTCCTTCTGCTCACGTGTGTTCCTCTGACTGAAATCGCCTCCTTTTAACTGTGGGTACCCTAGTCCACAGTATCGCCTCTCCCCAGGGAACCACCCCTGTTAGGGAATATTACTTTAAGGTGTGTTACTTTTGTTTATGCTGCATTTGTCTAACTCTGTGAAGCTGTGTTGCTGTGCCTGTGTAAAACACCTGATGGGCTAATAAAGAGCTGAACGGCCAATAGTGAGGCAGGAGAAAGGATGGGCGGGGCTGAAGAGCAGAGAAGATAAATAGAGGGAGAAATCTGGGAAGAGGAAAAGAGATGGAGAAGAAGGAGCAAGAGAAAGAGAAGAAGGAGCAAGAGAAAGAGGAGGACTCCAGGGGCCAGCCACCCAGCCACCCAGCCACCCAGCCACCCAGCCACCCAGCCACCCAGCAACCCAGCCAGCCATGGAGTGAGATTTACAGAAATAACAGAACAGGAAAAGCCCAGAGGCAAAAGGTAGACAGGATAATTTAAAGCTAAGTAAAGGTGGCGAGAAATAAGCCAAGCTAAGGCCAGGCATTCATAAGTAAGAATAAGCCTCTGTGTGTGATTCATTTGGGAGCTGGATGGTGGGTCCCCAAAAAGAGTAAAACCTTCAACAACACACCCCCTTTCCATAGAATCGGCTTTACTGTTGAAATCACATGCTTCCCACGGCATCTCGCTCTTCCTTGGGAATCGGCGCCTCCCATTGGAATCCCCTCTCGCTGGAGTCACCCCTTCCCATCAGCTCCTGCTGACGACCATACATCCTTCCTCACTCCTGTTGATTCCTGACTTCTCCATTTCTTTCTGCTTTCCGATACCCTACAATCCACCTCTACAAGCCATGCTATCTGACAGACTCAGGACCATGCCTCCTCCTTCCTTCCTTGGCTCACTAGAGCCCAGTCCCTGTTTGAATGACCCTTCAAGTTCCCTATCATTCCTGCCATCAGCCCCCTGCATTGCAACAGCGTTTTTACTACACTTTTTAAAAACTGTACTGGGTGTTGACCAAAGGCCATGAACATACTAGACAAACACTCTATCACCGCCATTCTTATTTTTCACATTGAGACAGGCCTTACTAAGTTGTTGGCCTTGCATGGTTAGCCATGGCACAAGCCCCCAAGGCTGGTCTCACACTCGCTCTACAGCCCAGGCAAGCCTTGAACTTGTGACCCCCATTCCTCAGCTTCTGGAAAAAGTGTAATTACAAACCCACACTTCCAGACCCAGTTCCTGTTGCTCATTTATCACTGTCTTCCACTTCTTCAGGCCAGCAGATCACATAGCCACGGACCTTTTGTTGTGGCTGTAGAGCAAGAGTATGCACTTCAACACCAATCCCTGTGGCCTAGCACAGAGGCTTTCCATGTGCCTCTTAGGAGGCTGGCTTCCCAGGACAAGTCCAGCAGGCAGGGCCAGGAATGAAGAAGGGGAGCCTGGGCTCCAGGCTCTACACTATTTACACCATCCTCTGCTTCAGCATCCCCTCTGAAGTGTGAACGGCAGTAGTAGCCACTCTTAAGGGGTGCTTTAAAGAAGGCTTGAAAGCACTCTCCCACTGTGATGATCCGGGGGTCACTGCCAACTGAGTCAGCCTGGCTCCCTCATCTTTCCCTGCCCTGAGCTCTGGGCCTCTCAGCACCAGGCAGGTCTCCAAGAGAAACCTTGCCCTGAAGGAAGATGCCGTCTGCCAAATGTCTCCTGGGGCCCCAGCAGCCCCAGCCAGCACACTGTGCAGGCCTTTTGCTCGGCAGGAATCTAAGTTGTATGTTGGGTTTTTTTTTGGTTTTTCGAGACAGGGTTTCTCTGTGTAGCTTTGCGCCTGTCCTGGAACTCACTCTGTAGCCCAGGCTGGCCTCAAACTCACAGAGATCTGCCTGGCTCTGCCTCCCGAGTGCTGGGATTAAAGGCGTGCGCCACCACCGCCCGGCCTGTATGTTGTTTTTTAAAAAGAGGGTCTCCATATGTAGTCCTCCTGGCTATCCTGGAACTCAGAAGTCCACCGCTCTGGCCCTTCTTCGTACACTTTTCATGGGTACCCCCAAGTCTCCCTCTTTCTTGATTTGAAAAACCTACTTTCCTCATCTAGTTCTTATTTTTTACTGAGGGAAAAGTAGGGGAAAGAAACCTGAATGGACTTAAGACCCGTTCCCAGGTCCCACTCTGTGATATGGGGAGAGCGGGGGGAACAGGTAAGCTCGGCAAGGCCTCCGGATTGTTGCAGCCCAGAAACTGGATGGTGGCCCCGTGTGGACAAAGCTGGAGCTGGGAGTGCGGAGTGTGAAGTGGGCAGAGTGAAGTGAGAGAAAGCCCGAGTTACTGTGAACCCGCTTGCTTCTAACACGGCTTTCTTCACGGATCCACCTGGAGTGACGCAACTATCACAGGTATTTTGAGAAACATCCTTATTTCGAAATAAGGAAGCTGGGGGTTATAGAAATGACATTTTGTGTATTTAGTGGGTCAAGTTACAATGCCGGGCATGATGCCGTGTAGGGCAGAGATTTCAACACAGTGCCCTCCCTAGGAGATTGCCTCAGTCCAGACCCTCTGCTTTGGTTTTTAGTTTGCAGTTGACTATTAGATGGGAAAACATTGCTAAGCGTTCATTATTTCCTTGGTTAGGGTTGATGAAGACATCAAAGCCAGGTGCCTGGCTGAGAGGGGAAGAAAGTCCTTGGACCTGTCTAGAGATGGCTCGGAATCCATCCCTTCTCCAGGCCCACATTTTTCTCTAAGAAAAGCCAGAAGGGCGGGGCGGTGGTGGCGCACGCCTTTAATCCCAGCACTCCGGAGGCAGAGGCAGGCAGATCTCTGTGAGTTTGAGGCCAGCCTGGGCTATAGAGTGAGTTCCAGACAGGCTCCAAAGCTACACAGAGAAACCCTGTCTTGAAAAACCAAAAAAAAAAAAAAAAAAAAAAAAAAGAGCAAAGCCGAAGGACAGTGACTCCAGCAAGCCCAAGGAAGGAGGGCAACCAATCCAGAACGGGGAGACATGGCGCTGTGGCCAAAGGAAGAGACTGGTTCAAACACAGGGCGGAGCCACTTGCTTATTGCAGGGGGAGTGATGTGCATTCAGCCTTGCAAGGGAACAGGAAATCTGGCATTGCTGTTTTAGGCAATAAACAGTTTTTAGGTTTAGGAAGGGAGCAGCTTCAATGCTGCTCTGTGTTCGGATCTCCCAGGGAACAGATGATCTGTTCCAGGGTCCCCTCCAACACGAGCAGTGATATTACAGGTTGCTTTCAGACCCAAGTCTCTGGCCACTCTCCAGATTCACATCTTCGAATTCGTTCATAGATTCCAATCTGCCTCACACTTCCCCCTTCCTGTAAGTCCTGTGGTATTCTCTATGTGTGCTCTTCCTTCAAGTGGGTGTGCCCCTCCATGTCTCAAAGAACCCATGACCTGCTCTCACTTGGGACAGGGGGACTGCAGGTCAACTATGCTAATTTTCAAAATGACTTGTTCAAAAACACCACTTTCTGTGTTAAAAGCCTCACCATCAACCAGGTGCTGTGGTGCACACCTTTAGTCCCAGCACTGAGAGGCAGAGGCAGGTGGATCTCTGAGTCCCAGGCCAGCTTGGTCTACATAGTGAGTTCCAGGCCAACCAGAGCTATGTAGAGACCCTGTCTCAAAACCAAACCAAACAAAAAAGCCTCATGAGAGATGGCTCACTAGTTAAGAGCACTGGCTGCTCTTCCTGAAGACCTGGGTTCAATTCCCAGTATCCACATGGTGGCTCACAACCATCTCTAACTCCAGTTCCAGGGGATACAGCATCCTCTTCTGGTCTACTGGGTACCAGGAATGCATGTGGTGCACAGACATACATGAATGTAAAATACACATAGAAAAATTTAAAACACTCAACATCAAATAATTAAAATGGATGCAGACTCAGTATATAACCAATAGTCACCATCTATTTGTGTATCTGAGCCCACTTCCTTCAAAACATCCTCTGGGAAAGCAGTTCAGGACCCTGCTCACCTCCCTGCTCTCATCCCCTGCCACTTTTCCTGAAGGGGATAAGGTCTAAGAACACCGAGGCACTGGGCTGGGTGTACAGTGGCCCTGCAATGTCAGCACTTGGTGGAGGTTGGACGATCAGGAGTTCAAGATCAGCCTCGGCTGATATACATACATGGAGTTTAAAGTCAGTCTGGGCTTCGCGAGACCCTATCTTTAAAAAGAAAAAGACTAAGGCACTAGTCGAGAAACCCAAATAAATGGTTGAAAATTCTGAGTCAGGACATCATCAGTCACCAAACACATTTTATGGCTGGGCATGAATGACACACTGCTTTAATCCTAGCACTCAGGAGTCAGAGCTCTGTAAGTTCGAGGCCAGCCCAGTCTTGTATCAATTTGTAAGACCTTCCAGAGATACACCTGTCTCAAAAAAAAAAAGGAGATCACCTGCCTCTGCCTCCAGAGTGCCAGGATGGATTAAAGGTGTGTGCTACCACCACCTGGCAATGAAATCATTTTTTAATTAAGATATCTCCCTCCCAAGCAGAGGAAAGAAGCTCTATCTTAGGCAGCCTGAAAGCATCTGTAGATCAGACTGGGTATGATGCTTTCAGGAAGCATCTATTGATGACTGGAGCGTGACGGCTACACCTGATGAGCTTGAAGCCAGGATGGTTCTGGACCATCCCTGCATCCTGGGTCAGAGGAGGAACAGAACACTCATTTGTGTGCTCGTATACACACACTCAACCTACACACCCTACCCACCATGCTCACCTGTCCTCAAAGCACACTGTGCACTTCCACGTGCGAGTCCTCCGCAGGAATACGCGGCACTCGGAGCACACGCGGTAGCTGCAGCCCTGGCACACGGCCCCGCGGTTCAGCAGCAGGCCCAGGGCCCGCTGGCAGCGCGCACAGCACTTCTCCCGGTATTCCCGGCTCGAGCTCTTCGCCCCTTTCCACCGAAGATGCTGCAGGTGTGTTTTCAGTTTCCTGCAACCCAGGGAGTCGAATAAGGATTGGGTGGTATGATGGTGGGCTCTAACTGCCACCTTGGCATAGCCTTGAGTCACCTGGGAAGAGCCTGGACAAGGATTGTGTACACCGGGTTGACCTGCGGACCTCTCTGTGGGAGGTGTCTGAAGTTAATTGATGTGGAAAGAACCAGCCCACTGTGGGCGGCACCATCCCCGAGGCAGGGGCACACTGTATGAGAACGGGGAAATGGAGCTGGGCGGGCAAGCAAGCACACACGTATGCATTGGTTGCTCTCTGCCCTAGGCTGTGGATGGTGTGACGAGCTGTTTGCACTTCCTACCTGGACTTCCCCCACAATAATGGGTGGTAAATAATGGGATCATAGGATAAAATAAACCTCTTTCTCCCCCGAACTGCTTTTTGTCCGGGTAATTTATCGTAGCAACATAAATAAAACTAAGACAGACATGGACAGCAGACTACAGACAGGGGCCTCCACAGACCCGCCGTATAAGGCAAAGGGCTTTGGTATCTGACAAGGCTGTATGAGCTGGTCTCTCTGCTCAGGGTTTTCTGTGAAACATCGCCTTATCTCCCATGGTGCCTGTGAGGATTACATGACAAAAGATGGCAGTTTGTGCTCTGCTCACCCTTTCAGAACAGGACCCTCCTCACCAGTATCCACAGACTCTGTTACTTTTCCAAATACTGTCTCTTTAAATCACCAAAGAGATTTGAATCATTTAGTTGTTTTCTCAGCCTATTATTATTTCAATGAATTAGACTTTACAAGTGTATTTAAGGGGTTTTGAAATAAAGGAGGGAACAGGCGTGGTGACACCCCCCCCTTTTTTATTTTATTTTATTTAGTTTTTTTCAAGACAGGTTTCTCTGTGTAGCTTTGGAGCCTATCCTGGAACTCTGTCGACCAGGCTGGCCTCGAACTCACAGAGATCCTCCTGGCTCTGCCTCCTGGGTGATGGGATTAAAGGCGTGCGCCACCACCACCGCCGGCTGACACACCCCTTGAATCCCAGCATTTGGAGCACGGAGGTACACAGAGGCAGGCAGAGCACTATACATAGTTCAAAGTTGGTCTGGTCTACACAGGGAGTTCCAGGGCAGCCAGGGCTGTATAGAGAGCTCTCGTCTCAGATAGAGAGATAAGTAAATGAATGAATAAAGAAATAAAGGAGCATGGAAAAATAACTTTGTGTCTTTGGTTAATCACACAATTTCCCTCCCTCTTCAAACATTTGACTTTACATGTGTGGTGTTTTTCTATGCATATGGGTGTTTTCCCCTGCATGTATGTCAGAGCGTCACGGGCTTGCAGTGTCTGTGGAGGCCAGAAGAGGGCGTCGCGTTCCCCTGGACTGAAGTTACAGAGGGTTGTAAACTACCATATGGGTATTGGGAATCGAACCCTAGTCCTCCGGAAGAGCAGTCAGTGCTCTTAACGGCTGAGTCATCTCTCTAGTGACCCCAAGAAAAGTTCCCCTCTTAAAAACATTGGCTTGACCCCTCCTTGGTGCTAGGAGTGACCCTAGGGTTTCTTACACACTAAGCAAATGCTCGATCATTCATCTGCTTACTTTCAAACATGCCTAATAGCTAAAAGGTGATCTTGAACCCTTTTTTTTAAATTAAAAAATATTTCAATTTCTTTCAATTTTATGTGTATGAGTGTTTTGTCTGTATGCACGTATGTGCACCACATGAGTGCCTGGTTCCCACAGAGGCCAGAGAGGGCATTGGATCTTCCTGAAATGGAGTTACAGATGGTTGTGGGCCACCACGTGGATGCTGGAAATTGAACCCAGGGTCTTCTGCAAGATCAAAAAGTGCCCTTAACGGCTGAGCCATCTCCCAAGCCCTGACCTTGAACCTCTAATCCTGCCGTTTCTACCTCCCAGGTACTGAGATTTCAGGTGTGCCCATGAACTCTGAAAAACAAGCCATGTATTTACAGAGGGAACCTCCCAGCTAACAGTGGGCGGTTCTGCCGTCCAGAGCTGCCAGTAAGTGCAACCTCAGACCCAACAGCCAGGCCAGAAAAGAAGCTTCTGTTGATAGAGGGGTCAGGGAACAGGCTAAGCAGGTTCACCCTTCTTCCAAGCCAGCCGCAAGGCAAATGTGAACAAAGAGAAAAGGCAGAAATGGATTCCACCGGTTTTCTGTTTCCGACCCTCCTTCTTTGTGCCTCCAGGTACCACGGAAAACACGGGAGGGGGGCTTAACTGGAAGTTTTCCCTTGAGGGGGCTGCCAGAAGCCTGCCGGTGTTCCTCTATTGTTCTCACAAAGTGGGCAAGCGTACAAGAAGCAAATATCACAAAGGCACCCTTTCCAAAGAACTGTGGAATTATTTTAGTTCCATTGCGAAAATAATCCCCACCCCCACCCCTTCCCCGGGACCCTTTTGGGTTAGAAGTTCAGCACCCCCTCCCCGAGCTAGCAGTCACAAGGAAGCCAACAAGCCATGTCCCCAAACAGAAAAAGCCAAGCCCCATAGGACCGCCCAGGTCAAAGCATGGCTTACCGGACCCTTTCTTCTTCCATGCTTTGAACAGCCTGATCTCGGTAGAGGACCCCGAGAATGACCTCCCGTTCCAACTCCTTGAAGGACTCCAGGTCCACTTCATGGGCCATTTCGTCTCCCCAAGACGGACAGAAGAGATCCACAGTCCTGTGGAGACGCCGGAGTCCAGCTGCTTCCCTCGATCCTGCAGGAGCGAGCCCCTCTCTGGTTTCACCAGTGACCGTGTTTGACTTGGGACTCTTGCTTCCTTCCGAACTGGGTCATACTCCCTCGGAGAAGCAAGCTCCGCCAGGCCGCCCCACTGCCACCCGAGGGGTGTTTTCACTGGGCTCTGCCCGATGAGACAAGAGCGTATCTTTTTCTGAGGTTTTGCCAGAGATTGTTATAAATGATGCATGGCTGCTGAGCAGATAATTTCTGTAAAGCACGAGTGATCTCCACCCTGAGGAAGTTCACAAATAGCAAGGGGAGAGCAAACGTTCCCCAGAAAAAAAACTGTGTCCAGGTCAGCAGAAGCGACAACCAAGAGTCGAGCCTGTTTGAAGCCTTAAAGCCTGTTGGAAAAGACAGAGAACAAACAAAGCCCGCATTAGTGGCCCTGGCTCGGCACCTCTGTGGCATCACTTCTGAGGACACAGCTTTGCATTTTAGGCTGCGATTCAAACGTTATTAAAGAAGACATCTTTCCAACACTTCTTATAATTTCCACACTTGGATTCTCCTACCAAGAATTCTGGATCTTCAGCTGTGAGAGGACAAGGAGCCTGGTTTGATGTCCCGAGAGATGGGCAATGATTCTGTCACCACAAACATTAGAGTTCACCAATTCAGTTACAGAGACCCAGGTGGTCTAGCCTGCTGCACACCTGCTATCGGGATGTGCGTATGATATAGCTCACTGCCCCCGGAGTGATGAACAAGACCATACAAGATCAGGTCAAGCACAGAGAAAATGAGGCAACCAGAGGCGTGAAGGGTACGGTGTCCGAGCAACAAAACCCAGCAGACTACTTGGCCGCGAGTTTCTTCTAAAAGTAGAAGACAAACCTGACAGAATACATTTTACAATATGGAGGCCACAGAGTGCACTGTTTGCCTTGGAAGAAGGAGGGTCCAAGTTCAATCCCAGAACCCAAGGAGGCGTGCACTTCTAACCCGAGTGTTGGGGAGGCGGATAGGCAGATCCCTCCGGCTTGTTGCTCAGCGAACTTAGCCACATGACTAGTTCCAGGCCAGCCAAGGACCCTGTCTTTAAAAAAAAAAAAAAAAATCAAGGTGTGTGGTCTGAGGGACAAGAGCTGGGGTTGTCACCTGGCTTCTGTAAGGGTGTTCCTGCACACACAGGAGCAAATATACATAATACACACACACACACACACACACACACACACACACACACACACACACACACGCACACTGGGTAACTCACAACTGCCTGTAACTCCAGCTCCAGGGAATCCAAAGCTTTCTTCCAGCTTCTGTGGGCATTCCCATGCACAAACACACACTCACACAGAATTAAAATAAAAGTAAAAAAATACTATGTTCAATGCATGAACATGTACCATGTTCATTTATCAAGTATCGTCCACGCACATATAGTATGTGCTATTCCAGCCATGCTCTTACCCAAACCATCACAAACATGCCAAACAAGGTAAGAAATTCCCATCTCAGAAATAATCTTATTGGGCCATTATGTTATATATATGTTATATAATTGCTGACGGAAGCGTCTTTACTGAGCACATGGCAAACTCTACATCATCTTAATTGAAAATACATTAGAGGAAGGACGGCCTCAGCTGTTGGCTATTATTTTTACAAGTATTGTCCAAAAAAAAAAATTGTAATCAATTAGGGGAATGTGAGTAACTACAGCAACCTCAACTTGTCAATTATTTATGTCCTGTAATAGCACTTCATTAGGTATCGGGCCCTGTTTCTGTTTAGTTCAAGTCAAAAGATTCTGCATTCATCCATCTAGTAAGAACATGTAGATGGTTCAAGCAGCATGCTTTCTGTAATGCCATTTTAATTTTCCAGCCAAGTGGACCCCTCAGTAATAAGGAGTCCTTTCGGTACTTCAGGAGCTACACTCCTTCTGAATTCATGAATGATAAGCAACAGACGCTATGGCATCCTTCTCTCTCAACAAATGCTCTTAGCTCTTCTTCATCAGTAGTCTGGGGAGGGCTCTGTATCTCAATGCATAAAATAAAGCACATTGGGTTATAAAAGAAATTGATCACACTGAACTATTCAAAAATTGTTACATAGTAGTGTGTGTATTCATTAATACATGAGATAATTAAGGTCTGGCAGTTATTTAATGAGTGGCATAATGTCAAAGTGGCAATGATATAAACAATGCTTTGAGATATCTATGGCACATGATGTCATAGGAAAATACTTGTGATTTCTATTGGGAACAAGGTTACAGGTTTGACTGATTTTTTTTATTTTTTTATTTTATTTTATTTTATTATTTTTTTTTATTTTGCAATACAATTCAGTTCTACATATCAGCCACGGATTCCCTTGTTCTCCCCCCTCTCGTCCCCCTCACCTTCCCCCCAGCCCCCCCCCCCCCATTCCCATCTCCTCCAGGGCAAAGCCTTCCCCACAGACTGAGTTCAACCTGGTAGACTCAGTCCAGGTAGGTCCAGTCCCCTCCTCCCAGGCCGAGGGTCCAGTCCCCTCCTCCCAGGCCGAGCCAAGCAATCCTGCATAGGCCCCAGGTTTCAAACAGCCAACTCATGCAATGAGCACAGGACCCAGTCCCACTGCCTGGATGCCTCCCAAACAGATCAAGCCAATCAACTGTCTCACCCATTCAGAGGGCCTGATCCAGTGGGGACCCCTCAGCCATTGGTTCATAGTTCATGTGTTTCCATTCATTTGGCTATTTGTCCCTGTGCTTTATCCAACCTTGGTCTCAACAATTCTCGCTCATATAAACCCTCCTCATTCTCGCTAATTGGACTCGCAGAGATCCACCTAGGGCCTAGTCATGGATCTCTGCATCCAGATCCCTCAGTAGTTGGATGAGGTTTCTAGCACGACAATTAGGGTGTTTGGCCATCCCATCACCAGAGTAGGTCAGTTCGGGCTGTCTCTCGACCATTGCCAGCAGTCTGTTGTGTGGGTATCTTTGTGGATTTCTGTGGGCCTCTCTAGCACTTTGCTTCTTCCTATTCTCATGTGGTCTTCATTTACCATGGTCTCCTATTCCTTGTTCTCCCTCTCTGTTGTTGATCCAGCTGGGATCTCCCGCTCCCCCAAGCTCTCTTTCCCTCAACCCTCGCCTTTCATTACCGCCACTCATGTCCAGGCTGTTCATGTAGATCTCATTCCATTTCTCTGTCATTGGGCGATCCCTGTGTCTTTCTTGGGGTCCTGTTTTCCAGGTAGCCTCCCTGGTGATGTGAGTAGCAGACAAGTCATCCTTGTTTCATGTCTAGTATCCTCCTATGAGTGAGTACATACCATGCTTGAGATTTGACTGATTTTACCTTGGCTTTTTCTTATATTCATAATAGAAGGAAATACTAAATTTTAATTAAGATTAGTGGAACTAGGGTCTGGAGAGGTTTCTCAGTGGTTAAGAGCACTGACTGCTCTTCCAGATGACCAGAGTTGGATTCCAACACCCACATTATGGCTTACAATTGATCCCAGGGGATCCAACACCCTCTTCTGACCTCTGAGGGCACCAGGCACACAAGTGGTGTGCAAATATACCTATACACTATATGAAACAAAACAAAACACATTTTTCAAAAAGATTAAAGGAAATAAAGATATGCTTCCCCTAGACCAAGTTTATGGGCCTTGCAGGCTGAGGACTGTGGCCTGAAAGGGTCTGTGTTTGTTGGGTTCTCCAGTGTAAGATAAAGCTAATGTAACATTTGTGGGGGTTCCATGGACTGGAAAAGTTAGAGGTCTGAAAAGGGGTTGCTTGGCCTCTGGCCCCCAGTAAAGTACCCTTAGGTACCTTGTCTTAAGGTTTCTATTGCTGTGAAGAGACACCATGACCATGGAAACTCTTATCAAGGAAAACATCTAATTGGGCTGGCTCGCTTACAGTTCACAGGTTCAGTCCTTTATCATTATGGCTGGGAGCTTCGTGATGTGCAGGCAGATGTGGTGCTGAAGTAGCTGAGACTCCTACATCTTGCAGGCCACAGGAAGTGGTCTGAGACACCGGCAGTATCCTGAGCATAGGAAACCTCAAAGCCTGCCCCCACAGTGACACACTTCCTCCAACAAGGCCATGCCCACTCCAACAAAGCCACACCTCCTAATAGTGCCACTCCCCATGAGATTATGGAGACCAATTACATTCAAACTACCACATTCCAAAGAAGTTGGTACCAGGGACTGGGGTAGATCTGACCATGTTTTTGTTTGGAGTAATACGGACTTTGGGACTGTGGATTAGAAACGCAGTTGAAAGTGCTGCTTAATGGGCCAGACTAGTAGGAGCATGGAAGACAGTGGTGCTGAGGGTGATTTGAACTCTCAGGGGCTTGCTCAGAGGTTTCAGAGGAGAAGACTTTTAGTATGTTGCCTAGAAATCATTCTTGTGATATTTTGGTGAAGAATGTGACTACTTTTTGCTCTTGTCCAAAGAATCTGCCTGAGGCTCAAGTGAAGAGTTTTAGATTAATTTCCTTGGCAGAGGAAATCTCAAACAAGCTAGTACAGACTCTGTTGTGTGGTTATTAGTGGTAACTCTAATGAAGATTTATAATGAAAAGGAGAGAGCTGAGTAAGGAAAAATATTTGAGGAGAAAAAGAGCACCAGAAAGTGGACTGGAGCTAAATTCTGTGTTCAAGGAAATAAACAGATTAAGAAACAGAATAAATGTAGTAGTGACCTCAGGGCAAGATCTCACCCAGTTAAGTTTCCATCTTGTGAAAAGGAACTAAAGAAAATTAAAGAAAAGCTTAGAGCCGGATATAGTGGTGCATGCTTTTAATCCAAGCCTGGTCTAGAGATCCAGTTTCAGGACAGCCAAGCTTAGGCAGTGAAGGACAGAAAGCTGGTGAAGGGGACCATGTTCCAGCCCCAGCAGAACTTGGCAGCTTCAACCATGTGGTTCTGGCTTTAGAGTCAAGGATAGAAGGAATGGGTTATGGAATTTGCCTCTGTGCCTAAGGAAAGTCTCTGAGGCCAGGCATGTGTCAGGGGTGTCCTTGAATGGAGGCCTAGAGAGACCCAGAGAGGCCATTGTGTGAAGTTGTGAAGTTGAAGCCTGGATTGCACTGGAGACCCCAAGATGTTGGAGATGCCAGAGCTATGTGATACCTGCCAAGGAGAGCTGCTAACAGGGAGTGGAACCAGCCCAAGAGAAAGAAGTGTGTCACAGTCAACAAAGATGAAAGGACTTGGAGATCTGAAGAGCACTTTGACATCAGACATGGAGATGCAGAGTTTGGAGTTTGCTCAGCTGGTTTTCAGTCTTGCTTTGGTTCAGTATTTCCTCACTGTGTTCCCTTTCCTATGTTTTGGAAT